ACTTTTTTCATGGAGGCAAATAACAAGGAATTTATTTATGGTAAGACTAAGTTACTGAGATTGTCATTAAAATTTTAAATTTAAAATAAAGTTTATATCTTACTTATTTTTCTCCTAAAATTGGAGCATTATATGGGGTTAATTTCTGTTAAATAATGATACAACATCTAACTGGCATGTTAAACATTAAAGTCTGTTGTGTATGTGTGTGAATGTGTGAGAGGCAATACAATAGTATAAATAAGTCTTTTCAAAACCAAAACCCAGAAGAGGATAATTATGAGCTTCAATAATACCACTGAGCTAAAACTAAGATAACTAAAATTTGATTATTCTTGATTCATTTGTATGTATAATATTTATTTAAATTAACAAAATATTGTTCCAAACATACAAGTATTTTGTATGTAATATCTGCCAAATGTAGGCAGGGTTGCATCTACGCACAGCCAGCAGCTCCTGTGAGTTAGAAGACTACCAATATACTTAAATTTTAGGGGCCCTTTCAACAATTTCACAAAAAGAAATCAAAATAAGAGTAAAACAGCAGGGAAAGAATATTACCCTGTATGTTAAACCTTTATCCCTGTGGTAGTTTGTCAATAGATCACAACACCTGCTTGCTGGTACTTAAATAAATGGGTTCTTTAAGAAACAGAAAACAGGAATAAACTGAAATTACTTGAAAATAGTCATAAATAACTGTGTAAAGTATAATATGTTAAAAGTGTCCAAATACATACAGCCTGTGCTAAAATGTATTTTTTCCAAATAAGTCCAATTGCAAGAAAATGTATTGTAAGAGCACATATTTACAGAGCACACATAGCTTCATAGGAATGTTGAAAGCATGGGGAAAATAATAGATGTTACTGTACATATATATTCATAAGTATGAATTCACAATTCTTATACACTCATAAGAATTTCATGTTAGTTGAATAATTTGGTGAGAATGTATATTTTATTATTATCATTTATTTATTATTATTATTTTTAATTTTAGGGAAGGATCTATAGGGTGTTTAGGGTCTCACTACTAGATTGGACTTGGACTCATAGCAATCTGCCTGTTTACAGTTTACAGCATCTAACTGGCATGTTAAACATTAAAGGACTGGGATTACAGGCACGCGCCACTGTGCCCAGTCTCAATTGTTGTCTCAGGCTGAAACCCCAGCCCCTGAGCCTGCTTGCAGGCAGTTTAACCACTGAGCTATTTGGCCAGCCCTGAGAATGTGTTTTAAATATTTAGAGTACATATAAAATATTTTGTGTTGCATCTACTTTGTGTTTATATTTACACACATGGTTCATCAATAGTACATACACTTGATAGATGAGAACCTTGGACAGCTGGAAGAATTAGTTAAATGTTTCCCTCATGTAATGTGAGGACTTACCTGTCCCCTTTGAAGAAATAGGTTTTCCCAACATCTTCCCACCAAATGGCTGAATCAATCCCATGAGGGGGGATTCCACTTCCAAGAGTAATCAAGTCATGAGGGTAACCAGGTTGCAGAGTTGTATCCTTGAACACCCAATATTTGTTGCCTATATAAAATAAATGAGGAAGGCACTAATTTTTTATTGCAAGATTACAACGCATCCATTAACACAATGTGTGTAAGTTATTCTGCATAAAAACCTTGAAATAAGTTAGTAGTGGTGAAATACTAGTGTTACTTTCAAAAGTAGATATAATGAATGACTCCTTAAAATACAGTTGAAATTCATGAGTCAATTGAAAAAATAAAACAGATCTACAACTTAGCCATAAACAAACAATGCTAAATCAAGGATCATGGATTCCTCCTATAGGAATCATTGGCCTGATTTTTTGCTCAAGTAGAAATCATTTCTATAGTTTGCAAATTGTATGTCCTCAAAATACTTTTAGTGAATATTGAGATATTTTCTCTGGGATGAAGATACATTGATACACACACACACACACACACACACACACACACACACATATGTATAAATTCATTCTAATTGTTTAAAGTTAGTCATCCCTCTGACTTATGTCCTCTTTGGCTATAACACCAGCCCTTTCTTTAAAAATTTTCACTGAAGGGAGGAAAATTTTAATTCTACACTTGTTCAAAATTGCCAGAGTATGACAATGCTCAAAATTTGCAGATCAGAGTCATTTCATTGCTTTCTGGAAATTCTCTACAAACACTTCGCCTTCTTCCACATGCCCTATGTCCCTGGAACACTGTGCTTGATCTTTTGCTCTTACTATATTCATTCAATGCTCTACAGCCATTTCTCACCTCACTGAAAGTTGATTTCATACCATGTAATCCACTGAAACTTTGTCTTGGAGTATCTAGTCTTCTCCATCTAGACAACTGAACAATTTTCCATCCTGACCTCTTGATACAACTAATCACTTTAAAGTGCTTTTCTTCCTACGCAGTTAGAAAGCCATTTTCTTTTGATGTCTCTCTTCCTTCCTTAGCTGCCTGTGAACTTTTATTTTCCTTAGCCTTGAAGTTTTTATTTTTGTTTTTTGTTTTTTTTTGGGGGGGCTCAGGTCCCTGCTCTGTTCTTGCGGTAAATCACGAAGGGTCACAAACTCAAATATTATAAGAGCCACATTAGAGATGGCAAGGGTTGACCCTTCACTACTTCTAGACTCTTTACAAAGCCAGTAGATTTCCTTGGCCAGAGACCTGTCTCCTTATTCATTTAAAAGACAGTGCAATGGCATAGTTTATTTAAGTATGACCTCTTGGATCCTTTTATCCAACAACTTTTTGGGTATCAATCTTCTGAGTTAATATCTGAGAAAGTGCGATCTATTGTGTTTATTTACCAATGGGAGGCCAATTTTTTTTCAACATTTCAATGACACACATTTTAAAAATTTATGTATTTATTGGCTACAGGGTCTCACTATGTAGCTCAGACTTATATTATGATCTTCTTGTCTTGGCTTCCCAGTGCTGGGACTACAGGCCTGTGCCACCATGCCGGGTTTCAGGCTGGCACTGTATCCCCAGGGTTCCAGGGCTGGCATGGCATGTGGTACCAGGGATAGAGCTGGGGGCTTTTGTTTGCCACAACGGTGCTTAGACCACGGAACTGATGATGATTGTAATACACTGTATCATAATGCCATACTTAAAGATATTTTAAAAATTAAATAATACACTGCACTAAAAGAAAACAAAATAAACAACAAAGAAAAAACCCAAAAGAACTCTATGTCTTTAAGACAATTTAATTAGGAGTTTTTAGGTTATAACAATAAGTAATCCTGTAGATTGAAAAATCTTCCATTATGTGATACAACTTAAGTTGAAACACTAAGCATCTCAGTATGCTAAGCAATATATTAGATAGTAAGCATAGCAAAGAAAGTAAGACAGCCATCATCATTACCATGATAATCATATATGTTAGCAGAAGATGCAAATGAAAATCCAATGAATGCATATAACATTGCAGTGTTTGAAAAACTAATGATCTTTAAGAAATATATCCAAAATACAGATTAAAACTTAAGGAGTGCTTACTTTAATATTCCGGATGATCCCTCTGAAGAAATATACCTAATTCTAAAGAAAGTAAAATACCTCTGCAAGCCATGTCAAGCAGAGAGATCCAATCACAGGAGATTTTCGTATCAATGAACTGAAATATCAGTAGAGTGTTACAATTGATGAGCATGACCCTGAAAATCAACCTAAACAGATATGATCATGGATGAACCTGTAAAGCCCTCAGAGATGACATCAGTAAAGAGATGTGGCTAGTTTTATATCTTCAGAAGATAGTTTTTGGTCTCTTTTATGAAGTTAATAATGCAGGGAATAACAGAAAACAAATTTTTGAGTGTCTTTCATGAAAATTAAGTAACTGAATCATTAATCCTACAACTTAACTTACCACATATCCCAGGCACTGATACAGGCATCAGACACACAGGAGCAATGAAGAAATGCAACACCTCTATTTATAAAGCTTAGACGCCATTAAGTGGGTACAAGAAGAGCAAACTTCAACAAACCAAAGGCAGGGGACTTCAGAGAGCAAAATACCAGGAAAATTGAAAAGGAAAGATGGGTATTAACATGGGAGAGCTGAGATACAAGCTGCTTTGTATTAGATAAAAGCAGGATTTCCATCCTCAGTCATGCCTCACACAATTAAAAAGTATCTTCCCAGTGAAGAATATCTGAAAAGGATGACACATCAAGAGTAAATGCCATTTTGACATTGTGTGTCTAAAATGCTTAGAATACAGTGTGGTCAGAGTGCATAGGAAGGTTAGTCATGAGAATCATTAACACTGTTGGATTTTGAATTTATTTTAAAAGGAAATGGAAAGTCATTGAATAATTATATTTAAGTGTTCTTCAATAGTAGTGGTAGAAATATAGGTGGAAAGAGAAAATAGGGTCAAGATACATGATGATCATAAAATTGATAAGAGTGAAGGAAATGAAATGAAGATAGTATCAAAGATGATCCCTAAGGTTTGGTTCATGTAGACCGAAGACTTAGGTTGTGATTTAATAAGAGAACAAGATGAGGTTAGGTGAGTATAGTGGATTGTCAACTGATGGCCACTTGTCACACCCAGCTGAACTTGGTGCTGGGTGTGGAAGGCCCATCTGAGGATTGGTGCCAATTACATAAAAGGCAGAACTGGAGAAAAGTGAGGCTGTTAGGGAAGCTGTTTGGAGCAGCTGTTGGGGACCCGTTGAAAGCTGCTGGTTCTCTCACGCTGTTCTGCTGGAGGACTATGTCATGCTGGCCTTCCTGATGAAATTAGTTGTTCTCATTGGAGGAGAAGATTAGGACCTCATTATCAGTGAGGATGGCTGTGATTTGCTTTGGGGGAGTTCTGCTCCTCATTTTGACCATTGTTTCCAGGCTCCAGGAGAGAAGATGGTGCACTGTTCAGTCTCCTAGAAGAGCTCGTCATGTTGGCTTTCCAGAAGGGAACTCAGCTTTCCTCATCCTTGGAGAATCTCAGGACCTCACTGTTGCTGGTTCATGCTTTGGGCACTGCTTCTTGACTCCAGTGTAGATCCCTCGGCTGCTGGCACAGATCCTTCAACCCTCTCGCACAGACTCTCTAGTTTCCTTTGCTGACCTTTGAGCCTTCTCAGTGCAGATCTGTGACACAGGTCAGCATGAGACATTGTCATGGGCTTTAGGTCTCCATGTAGACTTGGGAAAGCACCATTATGAGCTCTAATTTCTCAGCTGAATTCATATAACACATTAGGATCCAGACCTTCAGCTGGATTCTTCAGTCTTTAGTGTGTGGACAGATTTCTCACACTCTTCGTATATGATTCTTTGGGTGATTGTAAAATAATCTTATAAAATGGGTCCTGTATTGTACCAATCCCCTTGCAAAAAAACCAAATCATCATAATGAGCCACTGAAGGTTCAAATCAAGGTCTTCACATGTCAATGAGACGTCTACATAAAGAAACTGTGTAGGGAACTGGGTATGTCTGTTGAAAGATCACAAATTATAAGTCACCCATAAGTATAGTATTTACTAATTTAGTACTTTGTGAGATTTTGAAGCATAGAGGATATAAAGAAGGTAAAGAGAAGAATTGCACTTCTAGAGACATGTGGTCCACACAGAAGATTACATAAAGGAACAGGGCACAGTAGGCAAGAGAGAAGGAGGGACAAAAAGTATCAAAGAGAAACATAACTGAAAATTTCAGAAGTCAAAAGAGAGCATGGGCCAGCAAGATAGCTCAGTGGACTAAGCCCCTGCTTTGACAAACACAGGAACCAGAGTTCAATACATAAAGTGAAAAGGAAAAAAGAAAAGAAAAATCAAAGGGCAATGAGAAATGACTTCATCTAGACCAAATATCTCTTAAAAACCAAATGATATATATGGTTACCTACTAGTACGCTCTACAAAATTAAGATTCCAATCATCCTAAGGTTATTCTCTTTCATCTCCTATTTAGGATAACAGTTCTTTAGTGGGTTGCAACAGAAATGATCTTGGTCATTGTGTTTTAATATTTCATGGATCTTTTCATTTAGTAGATTTACACCTAAATTCTCCCTTGAACTTGTCTCTCAAAGTCCATTCTGCTAACAGTTTTGAAGATTATCATTCATGTTTTGTTTTACATTCTCTCGCCAGCCTCTCACTGCAAATGTGTAGTCAGTCAAAATGCTGCAAAGTGAGCCGTGGGGATGCCACTTGGTCAGGTGAGCAGAGCCACCCACACTTTTGTCTTGGGTCAGGGAGTCAGGGAGTTCAGACTTTCCACCCAGCAGAAGGAAGTGACTTCCATTATATAGTTGAAGCCTGAGAAGCCATGATGGCCAGGGAGGCAGACACTGTGAGGAGGTAGAAATTGAGTAGGAGTAGTATATTAAAAGAGAAAGATGAATGGAATAGATACAGGGAGGAACACCATGGCTAGGAGAGAGACTGGGGGCCTATCAGAGAGAGAGCATCTGTGGCCAGTTTCTGAGGTATAACTGTCATACACCATAAATTTCCCATCAGCTCAATTAAACCAAAAACGTTTGTTTCTCTTGT